GGTGGAAAAGCCCCTGATAAACAAACTGCATCTGCTGAAGGTGCATAGACAGCTCGTGGACAATTTGAATCAATATGCCAATAAACTAGAGGAGAAGATAGATACAATGAGAAGGTATTCCTTGAGTAATGATTGATTTGTGGAAATTCATACTAAGCATAAACACTTACAGGCTAGTCCTGCAGCTGGAAAGTCCTTTGCTGCTAGCCAAGGACCCAGAGATGGAGTTTCTCTACAATCCTCTACACAGCTATTCTCTCACACGGCAAATGCACTTCGACTGGCCCCAAGTGGAGAAGCTCATGGAGCAGAGAGCGGGTCTGGGTGAGTTGCCCCTGAGCTATCTTTGCCCGCTCAGTGCTAATTGATATGCTTTTAGAGCAAATTGATTTTCTCAAGCAAATGCGCGACGAGCTGCCTCAGCTTGAGGATGTCAAGGAGGCAGTGGCTGCTATTTACAGGGTACAGCAAATCTACAAGCTCCAGCCAACCGATATAGCTAACGGTTTGCTCGATGGAGTTTATGTGAAGTATGTGAGTGTAGGATTAATCGAAGGATTAATCACATATACGTTTATCCCTCAGTTCACAGCTTTCGATCTCTGACTGCTTTGAGGTGGGAGCAAACTTGTTCGAGGCATCGCAGTTCACAGATGCAACTTCTTGGTTACAACTTGCTAGAGACTTGTGGGATCAGTCCCCGATAGCACCTTATGAATTGTTAACCGTCCCACGTACTCATATATCCTCACTCTTGGCGAGATCCGTAATGGCAGCTGGTCAGTTAGTTCAACTCCAACAAATGCTAAGCTTGACTTACTTTATCTTCATATAGGTAACAAGAATCTAGGGCGAGCTGATCTGTTAGAAGGGTTTCATCGAAACTATACAATTACCAAAATTGAAGACCATCCTCAGTTAGACATAATGGACAAACTGTTTATTGAGTTTTGTGGGTCGTCTTACAAGCCCGAACCGACTCGACTTGTGTGTTCTTATAAGACGAAACCTTCAAAGTTTTTGTATCTAGCCCCATTCAAAATGGAACTGTTGTCCGAGGATCCTTACATGG